AACCATTTCAATGCAATACTGTGGTCTAAAAGAAGAAACTCTGATTTAGAATAAGTTAAAACTAAAATCCAACATCAGGAAATTATCCTTTCTGCTAGTCTTTGGTGCTAAGAAAAAATACACTACCAAATGATTTCCACCACATTCTTCACGATACAGTTATGCCTCATATTACTAGAAAAAGCTAACATCAGCAGTCCGGAGAAAATGCTGATAAACAGAAGTGAATACGACAAATGATGTAAGCCGTGGATTCGGCTCGGCAGCGAGAGACACGTTCAGTGGCATCCTACTAGTACAGAGCTCGGGGGTAAGTTAGGTTAGAAGGGCATGACTCAAACGGGTATTACCGAATGCAAAAGTGTAAAAACACAACAACATACCAACATGCCTGATGAAGAACCACCACAAATGAGTATGCAAAATGGCCCACGAAGGGCTTTACATTTTTAATGCTGTCCCAAGCAAAATTTTAAGGGTCATTTATTCCTACCCGGACCGCCTTCCTCAGAGCCCTGCAACGAGACAGTTTCCTATGTTTGCAACACACATCCTTTTTTTTTTTTTTTTTTCCAAACAGGCAGGCAGATAGAGAACGAAACAAGGGGCCCCCTTCACACATAACGCAGTTGCAGCTCTCCGTGCAGGGCTCGCTTATTCTCGCCAGCCCCCTTCACCTTCCAGCTATCAGGAACTTTACAGAACAGCATCTTCCAGCACCTCTTTATCATGGACCAAAAGTGAAGCTTTCTGCTGGCTACTGGATCTGGCATTGGTAAATAAAACTATTGCAGATGTTGCCTTTAGCAAGTGCCATTGCCATTACAGAGCATCTTAACAAAGCAGAGCCTCAGAATTTAAATTATTAGGATTTGGGCTGTTTGGTTGGGTTTTTTTCCTTTTTTTTTTTTTTTTTTTTTTTGTTAGGATGTTCTTGCCCGTCCCTGGAAAAGTGACATCTGCAATACTATTACAACAATTCTGCTAGTTACGGCAACATTAACTGAAACCGAAATGTGGTTTTTAGCCTGATATGTTGCATAACAACCGAAGAATTATAATCTTACGAGACGGGAAAGGTTAATTCCAGAGGGCACAAGAATGTCGGTGAAAACTAAAATACTCCATAAACGCATGGACTTGGAAATCTTTTTGTTTTGGTCCAAGGCGAATCCGAAACAGGAGAGAGCTTTCAAAGGGACAGCGAGACAGCGAGCACACGCCGAAATCCCTTTAGCGAGAGAGAAAAAAAAATACCAGCAGAGCCTCTGCACTTACGTATCTCTTGAGTTTCTTCTCGGGGGGTGATTTGATGAGCCATCCAGTGCAAACCACGTCCCCCGAGCTCATCTTCCCCCCCGGCGCGGAGCGGCGGCGCGGGATCCAGGGTGCGGGCTGCGTGTGCGTGTGTGTCCGCCCGCGGGTGTGTGCCTGCGTGTGCGGCTCTGTGTGCTGCCGTGTGTGTGCTCCCGGCTGCGGGCGTGCTCCCGGGTGTGTGTGTGCGGGTGCCCGTCCGCCCGTGCGGGTGTGTGGGTGTGTGTATTGTTCCCAGCCAATTCGCACCCGCGGCAATCAGCTTCCTTCAGCTGCGCTCTGCCGCGGCTCCAGCCCGCGGAGGAAGTCATGACATTGATCACTGACACGGCCAGCCCTCCCTCCGCCGCCAGCACAATGCAACAACTGAGCACGTGATGGGCGGCCGGGGCTCGCCGCCGCCGCCTGCGACACCCCCGGCACCGGCACCGACGGCGGGCTGCTCCCGCCACCGGCCGCGCATCGCCCCGGACACCCCCGCCCGCAGCTCTGGGGAGGATGGACACTGCCTGCCCGGAGCCCTGGGGATGCTGGACATCCCTGCCCCGAGCCCTGGGGATGCTGGACATCCCTGCCC